CGTGTACAGATGCAGCGAAATGATCCAGGATACATTGTGCAAACCTGTGTTTTTGGCTTCTTCATTCAAATTCGTTACGGGGAAACTATGCTTCCAATAACTCATTAAAGTTATGGAAGCAGTATCTGAAAAGTGAAAAAATTCCTCTGAGGGATAAAAAGGAGAAATACAAATGTTAGCTAAAACNAATCGGCCGATAGTTACTGAGGTGCTTAGGCTTGCATTCATGTACGGAAGCACATATGTGACCAGTGGAATAAGCAAATGTTTTGCTTCACATTTTTGTACCAATTTTTATTGATATAATTCACCATGCCTCCTCCACGCTTCTGACACATTGTCTGACGGTCGACTCGGTATCCAGTGAACCCTTCGATTTCAGTAATTTCCTCATCAACTTCACCATGTAAACAGGTCTCTTATAATAGAATTGTGCCTAAGTTAGAACATTCCATATGGCGCACAAGATCATATATATCTGGTCACTTTTCAAGCAACGAACAGACATTTTTGCTGATAATTAGAGGTATACGGAGTTGTGAAGAAGCTCTTTGACACAGTGCTACTCTTCATCCACCCCGATCCTTCCTCCAATATCCACGAGATTTTCTGCGAATCCTTTTGTAGTTATTTCTCACTAATTTTCCAAATTCAAGTACCTCCGGAAGCAAATTAGAGTTCTTGATGTTTTTCATTAAGGCGTTATGCAATTTTGCGACTGGTTTCATCGTAATTGCACAATGTATCTATGGCAATGACTCACAAAGCAAACTGATGTCTAAAAACAACGGGAATATCAATGAATATGCGATGATGATCGAACAGAAAGCAACAGCGCGGCCAAATTTGAAGGCCCCACCTTCATTAATTACCGGGAAGCGGTCTTCAAAGTAAGTCTAGTGCTCATCCGTACCTCATAAACTCTATGGATATTTTTCCCATTTTTCACCAAACAAACAAAACTCCTGTTCATTCACGAGTTTCGTAAAATAATTTACATGGGAACACAAAACATGTGGGTAATACCCAGAAAACCCTTTTAGCTCGGATAGGTTCAGCATAGTACGTGAAATGTGTTCAATTTTTCAACCGTTTCGGTTGCTGTTCCCTGTGCACGTCTGATTGCCTTTAGACAGATAGCAGAATTCTCTTTTGTTTGTTTTGTTTTGTATTTTTTTTTTAGTTTCAAACGGTAAAAAGCGTATTATTTTTTAATCCAACTTCTACCGCAGTCATTCCGGATAATCTGGCACAATTCACGAAACATCTTAGTTACACCCCGAACCCCGGTGATCGCCCAACTTAGATGGCAACTCTTTAATCGTTATCGGTCGATTCGCGGAAAATCATCATTGTGATGCAATTATACAACTTTGGATTTTGCAACGCTAAATTCGGTTTGACAGTTGACAGCTCACCGGGTAAGAAGCAGCATCACGTGTGTTTGTCCAGTTTTGAGGAGATATCCAAGGGAAGTGTTACTTTTCTTCAAATTGTTGAGCCAATCTCAAACAGATGAGTTTTCGGTCAAATAATATACGCGATATGGTTTGTAAATAGAGAGAAAATAGGAGACATTTTTAAATTGATTCACGGTACAGTATTATATATATATATATTTATACATCANTACATCAAGCGGGACGTTCAAAATTTCAGGCTATTTAATTACGATTGTGTACTAATTTTCTGAATTCTGGCTTAACGAAGAACTACTTATTTGCGTAGCACGTGATACTACCAGTCCCGAGGATTTCCCGAAGCGAGATTAATATCTGATCTCAAACTGGGCGTTTTATCTACTCATGCAGTGGTACGATACCAAATCCGGGGGGCACATTTCTCTACCTGGTTTGTGACTTCGTACTGCGACAAACATGGACTGTGTCCGTGTTTATCGCCCATTGTCATACAAAGTGAACGAACACTGAATCACGAAAGTCCCGTTGACCGAGAACCGTGTGGAATGCAATAAATGCATTCTGCATATATTTTTTCCTCCTAATTAATTAGTTTGAGAAGGCTGTTTGTTGGGCGAATTGGACGTTCCATTTTGCAAAGGTCTCATGATACGGTGAATTGTCTATCATTGCGTGTGATTTCACGCGGACATGTTTGTTGCTTCTCCACAGCGACAGATGTCACATTTGTAACGCTTGGCAATCGCGCCAGCACATTTTAATGTGAGTCCTTATATCTCATTGAACCTTTTTGGTTAATGGCGTTTTGTTTTCTTCGCCTGGTAGATTTATTTTCAACTCCGATCCACGGAGGACCTGTCTGTCAGTATATCCTCGCCTCTCCGAGTCCCGGTCTTCCCGCCACTCTACTGCTGCTCCCTGCCGTCGTTTGTCCCCCGCAAAGCCTCGTATCGTTCCCAGCCGCGAGAATATGAGACCAGGAACGTCCTATCGCGCAGCTCTGTCCACTCCGCTGTGCTGTGAGAGCCCGGATTACGTTCGCATTACACATTTACAGTAATAGAAAACGTACGGCATTGTTGTGTTTTCATTCCATCCATTCATCCATCCATCCATGCAGGTAGGCAGAGTTGATCGATGAGTCATTATGAGTGAGCACTTAAAAACGGCAAAGATGTTTACGCTTATCTTGCGCATGGATCGATCGAATCACATCGTGGAACTTGCAAAACAGAGATCATGTGATTGAATGAGAGTTTGTTTAGAAATCATGTGTTTGACCTTAAAGATTGTCTTCAAGTAAAAGGTAAACATGTACCGATGGTGTACCGGATGTTTTCCAGATTGTCACAGAGATTCAGCACTTTGCTATCTGACTCCGATCCAGTTTGACTCACTGGGCGGTGGTGGTGGTGCAGTCTTTTAGTCGTTGTCACCGGTGTGCGTGGGACCCTATGGTCGGGGATTCGAGCCACATTCCTTCCACTGCCACTCAACTTTGGTGGTAGGAAGCCTTGTTGTCTTCCGGTTCAACACCACTCCTAACCTAATGGGATCCAATGTCATTCGCCACTCCGGGGCTTAGGTTCCCGGTTCCCGTCACTGAACAGCAGATCTTCGTGATTATGGGGGTTACTCCGCCTGCTGTTCATCCCTCCTAAAATGTGTAATAAAAAAATTAAAATATTGTTAACCAACAAATTGCAACACGGCGAAGATGTGAAGGCATGGATGAAGCAGTAGAAGAAACACAGCAAGAACGAAAGTAGAGTCGAAGAGAAAATTGAGAACTCCAGTAAAATATGGGTGCAAAGAAATATTTGAAGATGCATGAGCGCCACTGTGTCTACGACTCCCAGCCGTATCGCTCAGTGTCTCTAACTACTGGTTACGAACATCCCGAGGTCCGCATCCAGGGAGCTTAACGGGACCTATGTGACTCAGTCTCCTGGTTAGGATTTTCATACCCTCATGCCAGGTCTTAGCATGACCACCCTTGGCTTTCTTACTCCCACTACCTCCTCGGCGAACATCGCTCGTCGTGGAAATCTATTTGGTGACATGCGTAACACGCCCTAGAAAACATAATCCATGGAGGTCGACCACTTGTTGCAGTGGGTGACTACGGTTAACTAAAACTCTGTGCTTAACCTCAGCATTGCTCGTCCGGCTGCCCCGCCAGATTCGTGCAATGCTACGCAGACAGCGGAGTTAAAACACTGACAGTCTACCTTTATCCTGTTCCCGTAATGGCCAAGTTTCTGCGCTGTATAGCGGAACTGGCCGAACAGCCGCAGCATAAACTTGACCCTTTACAGATATCCTGACCTGTCGATAGCGCCGCAGATGTCCCAAGTTGGCAAATGCCAACCGAGCCTTCCATATGCGAGCTGACACTTCATCCGTGATGCGCCCATCGGATGAGATGTAGCTGCTCAAATAACAAAACTTATCCACTTGCTCTATTACTTCCCAGTGAGAGTGAGGTTGGGTGCTGGACCGAATTGGTCCTCATAGTAACATTTAACACTTTAAAGATGCAAAATGCA